CCCCCCTTGGTCTAACGCACATCTTCAGAAGATGTGTGCTGCCTGTTAAAACTTTTCACCATCTCTTTTGGTAAACAAACAAACAAACAAATAAATAAAAAGGCATTTTGTTTCCCCCCTAAACTCCAGCTCTTCCCCTTTCTCTTCTCCTCTTCTCTCCCTCTCCCTGCTTCGTCTCATTTTTCTTTGTTAAGATACTTCCCTTGGGACTAGACAAGCAACTCCACAGGCAGGGACCAGGAAGAGGGAGCACCAGAGAGGGAGCCCCAGGGAGGGGGCCCATGCACGGGACTAGGACCGACAGAGATGGAGAGCTCTGCCTGGCTCCAGCTTTTTCCTCCACGTGGGACCCAGGCTGGGAAAGTACTCCAGGAGGGCACGCTGCTCTTGGCTCAGGAGGCTGAGTCTGTTGCCAGACTTGTCACTCAGTAGAATGAGAATCCAACAAATGTTTATTTAACATTGAGAGGCACTGGGCTCAGATTCAAAGATGTGAATTCTGGTCCTGACTCCAAGCCCCGTGATCTTAAGCAAAGCATTCCACCTCTCCCAATAAAAATACAGAGTGGGCAATTGGTAAGGACCTTACGATGCACACGTCCTGTGCTTCTAGGATCTTTACATTCACGGAACATCCACAAAATGTAACCTATTAATGTCAGATGTTTGCTATCCCAAAGATCCAAAAGAGTCAAAGTTTAAGATGCACCACTGATTTGGGGACAGACCTTCACTCCTGGCCGCCACTTAAGGCAACAGGTAAAGGTACGTAAAGCTATCAAGGGACTGGACAGGACTCACCCCGTGAGGAAGTCAGGGCTCGCTCACCCCAGCACATGGAATCAAGAGAGATTCATTTGGATGGGGCGCCCAGCAGCAGCAGCTTGAGACAAAGAAAGCTTTCTTAGGAACCTAGGACTTGACCTTGGGGTCTCTTTACTCTCTTTGATCACATTTCCTTTCCTTTCTCCAGGCTCTCAGTCCTTCTACCTTATCAACACCCACTTTAAGCAACATTTTGACAGACTCACTCACATCGAGGTGTAAATAATTGATAAGGGTTGATAGCTGAAACTTCCTATGATTATTTGTGGTTTTATGGACAACACTCCATTGTTTATTCTCTGCTGGGAGAGCAAAGAAATAATTGAAGAATTTCAAACCTCAGCAAGTATGTTTGGGAGAAGTGTATTTTTTGTTTTGACACTTTTTGGTATATTTTGATGGTTTTGCTTTCCATTATCACCACTTTGTCCAAAAAAACTGTACTACAATCATGGTAGCAGCCTTTTCTGTGAACACATAGAGCTAGTCTGCAGAGTGAAACCAAATAGTAAATATTTAATGGATTCTTGCTAGCAGGAGAAGCTATTAGAATGGTTTTATTTTATTCCCTCTTTCGCCCCACATGCCAGGGCCATTCCTAGGACACGAGAGATCCTCAGTAAATATTTCCTGAATGCATAATCACATGTCATCACGGGTAAGAGCAGAGGGAGCAGACACAAACACACAGGGCACGAGTTAGCCACAGAAGAAATGTCACACACACGGCCATACGCAGCTATCTTTTTCACCAAAGCCAGAGATGAAACGATGATGGGCTGCCCCTTGTGTGACAGAAAGAAATTCTTTCTTGACAATGAGTAGTAAAGAACTGAAGGAACGGTGGTACAGATCTAAATGTAGAAATAGACTCCAGTGGGCCTAGACAGAGTCACAAGAATGAGGGTTGCGAGTATTATTACATAGATTTCCTGTAGATCCATGATAGATGTATACAGCTCAGCATCCACTCCCAAACTCTTGCAGCCTACACAGTGGGAAATGAGTGCTAGGACCTCCTCCAAACCTAATTTTCCTATGTAATCGTTACTGTGCGCAGAGGAGGATGCCTCAGTGAGCCAGGAGGGTTTGTGCTGACCACCCTTGCCAACCAGCGAGGTGATTTCCCTGGAGAGGGNGCCTCAGTGAGCCAGGAGGGTTTGTGCTGACCACCCTTGCCAACCAGCGAAGTGATTTCCCTGGAGAGGGAATGTAAGAATCAATCTTTGCACAGTAAATAGAATACTCTAGTTAAGGCGAAAAACCATTAGATGCATGTACACCAATGCAATGCTAACACACACAGACGTTGATTCTTATTTTTATGATTGGCAAATTGCATTTCAGACTTTGCAGAGATCAAATTCGGTGATATTTAAAAGTGGGTTGGATGCCCTCCACTCTTAGGAATTACTCTGTTTCTGTGTCCCCGGTCTGAGGAAAGACCAGGGTGTGAACATATGATAGTGTTCAGTTGTGCGTGTGTGTCATTTATTTCAGGACTTGGGCAAATCTATCTCAGGGCCTCCGGTTCTCCATCTGAAAATGGCCATAATTCTAATGTGGCAAAAATACTAGTGACAAATAAATACAAATCGCTAAGGGAATGACACTGTTTTCTCACCATCTGGCTCCTGGCTCTAACTGGTTTCTGGTGCAGTGAGAAGCGCTTTCTGTTCTTTACATAAAAAGTGAAATGATTTCAAAGCCCAGAAAACCATCAGGTGCAAATGATCACTTTCTCCTCAAGTTTTCAGTTTTCTGCCTCTTTCCTGTTTTCTTCTCTCCCTCCCTCTCTCTCTTTTAATTTACTCTTTTTCTTTATTAAAATTTTCTGTAGTTTCAGGTGGATAATAGTCACAGAAAACTCACATGTTCACAGACATTCAATATATGTTTGTTTCATTGCGATGTGCACACATACTAAATATACCTACATACACACATTTACTAAAGTATGTATATAAGTCTACACCATAGACTGGACAAAACTCTGCATACACAGGTACAAGGATTATTAGTAGATATGATATAAAAATTTCTGTGCCACTTATTCTAACAATTTTCTGAGTAACATTCAGTGCACTTGGTAACATTTTTCCTGCTTTTACATCTTCCTATTCAGCGCATCATGATTCAAAAGTAACACCACAAAAAGTGACAAAAGCATAAACGTTATGAAGTTCACAGATGTGATTTCTTTAGCCATTTCGATGAATCATTCACCGAAGCCGCACGATAAAGGTTATCCTAAAGCTACCCCTCCATTACACTGTAACGCTGACATTATCAACACCACAGTTCCACTCTCCTTGCTTAACTAACCCCACAATGATAAAGTTTCATTTGGTTTGACTTGAGCTTACCTGAGGGGACCCCAAGGGCGACGAGCGCCAGGATAAAGCCTGCCAGCGCCATGGGCGAGCCTCCGGAGGACAGGTTCCTGCTTGTTGAGCGGTTTGCACCGGGGCGAGGGGAGGCAGGCACCTGCAGCGGCTGGAGCAGCCCCCGCCCAGCCCCACGGGCAGTTTGGCGAAGTCCCCTCATCCACCTCCACTCAGCTGCCGGCCGTGCGAGGCTCGCGTAGCCCTGGGTCCTAACTCCTGACTTATTACTTTGCCCTGGCAAAGGCCCGCGGGGCAGCGGGGAGGGGGCGAGCTGCCCGCTTCTGGATGCGCGGCGGCTTGCTGAGGGCTGCGGGCTGCGAGGGGAAGCCCTGCGGCTCGTCCCCGCGTCCTGGGAGTTCGTGGGAAGTTCCTCAGAGATGGGATTCCTCCATCGTCTCTTCATTTGGGACTCGGAGCCTAAGGACAGGGGTACGAGGGGGCTGAAAGGCACAAACTTCCTGTGATAAGGCCTGGGGATGTAATGTACAGCACGGGGGCCGTCGTGAGTAATATTATATTGCATGTTTGAAAGTTGCCAGAAGAGCAAATCCTAAAAGTTCTCATCACAAGAAAGAAAGCTGGTACCTACGTGTGCTGGTGGATGTTAACTAGACTAATTGCCGGGGTCATTTTGCAATATATACAAATATCGAATCATTACGTTATACACCCAAAACTGAGGTTAAAAACAAAATTCAACTGGGTAAAATGTAAAGATCTTATTGAGTTTATTCAGTGACTCCTAAATCAGGCAGCATCCAATGCAGAAGACAGAAAGGAGCTCTGAGGAGCTGTATAAAAGGAAATACTCTCACAGGCAGAAGGGAGCCCAAACGAGGAGGCTGCACGAGCCAACGTGATTTGGAGGTGACAAGGTCACCTTCTTTTAGGGGATGGCAGGGCTTTATCAGGCATGTTACTTAACTAGTGCTGATTAGGTGGATCCCGACTGACTAGTTTAAGATTCCGTTTCTGGGAGAGCTGAGCTGTAATTAAATTAAATCTCAGTTTGGTGACATGGGGCTTAGCATAAATGACTCCATTTTGGGCCTGTTGTCTTGTTTTTTTAACACTAATATAATGTTATATGTCAATTATATTCGATTAAAACAATAATGACTCATTGAATTTTTCAGGTGTTAATAAAACTGATAAGTGGGGGAAAACCCAAACAAACAATAATGACTATGTCCTCTAGCTCCCTTGTTCAATGGCGTTCAAGTGTCGTAGTGTCAGAGCGTCCTCTGGGGTTCCCTTGGGCCTACAGGGCCCACCTTACCCTTCTTACAGGAGAAAGTATGGGGGGAGCTTGGCCTGGTTTTGTTTCCCTTATGGGGCTTGGGACTGATAATATCACTTTTAAACTGATTCACCCTCTTCACAGGTGGAGGGCCAGGTGGGAGCACCACCTGGGTGAAGACTGAATGGTGGAGCAATGTGCTCCAGGGCACTGATGAACTTTAGTGACACCGGTTTAATTCAGTTTTAAAATTTCTCAATGACATCTCATTAAGCCCCCACCCCCACCGACCCCATGCGCCATTAGCAACTTTCAAACACCTGGTGATATTCAATAAGGTACCAATAGGTAACGAAAGTGGCCTTGGACTAGGAGGCAGGACTCTGTCCCCTCCTTGAGCCGACCTCTCCACCCTCTGTCAGAGGGCNGTTCAATAAGGTACCAACAGGTAACAAAAGCGGCCTTGGACTAGGAGGCAGGACTCTGTCCCCTCCTTGAGCCGACCTCTCCACCCTCCTCTGTCAGAGGGCCCCTTACCTGCCTCTCTTACTAGATCATGGGCTCCAGAGGCCCAGGATGGGGGCTGTGTCCTCTTATCTCTGCATCTCCAGCAGATTTCACACGCAAATGCTTAAGAATGTTGTTTGAATGAAAGGAGGAAGGAAACAATCAGACACTGATTTCCTATCCGTTGAATTGCGTTCCAGGCCTGCTGTGAATCTACGACNTACCCATTGAATTGCATTCCAGGCCTGCTGTGAATCTACGACTGTCTCATGAATAAATCAGCCACTAACTCAGGGATGCAGGAAGTATCACCTTCATTTTCAATAAGTCAATTAAAATCAAGCCTGCCATCCCACTGAGCTGGCAGGAAATCCAGTCTCAGTCATTACAGGAGCTCCATACCCCTTGCCTAGGGTAGCAAAAAAATTGGGAAGGCTTTTGTGGTTCCTCAAATACAAGGCAGGCCTCCAGTCCATCTTGACCACAGTGCAACTTGAAACAAAATATATCTTTCTTATTTCTAATTTTATTTCTACAAAAAAACTTACAAAGTTAGAAAAAACTAAATCATTTTGGGGTATCCACTTAATTATTTTCCTTTATTGCAAAAAATACAATTACCCTGTACTGGGAATACCAATAAGAATATCATCAAGAGCAGCAGCTCCGCCCTGCCAGCACCTTCTGGAACACTGTCTTTGTTTAGGACATGTTCTAAGAAAGTTAAAGATGTTCATTTAGAGGGAGTCAAGAAACCCAGGGTCTAGAAAGGAGGCTTAATGAGAAATGATTAAATTGCAAGGAGTTTGAATTAGAAGAAAAGAAGTTTTAGGGAACTCCCTTTTCGCTATGAAAAGTTTATATGTGCCAGTTAACCCCTCCACACCAGCACCATTTTACAAGCGAGGAAACTGAACCCTGGGAGGTGGAGCCATTGACCCACGTCACACAGCTAGATGGTAGAATCAGGGCCTGAATCATGTACCATGCTGCTTAATAAGTTACCCCAGTGCACCAATGTCTAGAGAAATGATGGTGGAGAGAACACACACCCTGCCTTCTGAGGGCTCATTGACTCTATCCCTCCTCAGTCATCCATCAGGGATTTACAGCCTCCCTTCTCTGGGTCCTTCCTTATGTCTAACCTCAGTCATTCTTGCTGCAGTCCTCCTGCCTCTACATCCAGCCAGTGTTACTAGAATTTCAGATACTCATATCTTCCTTTTACCACCAGTGGGGATGTTTTGTGGGAGGAATTAGTGATAATGTTAGTGTTCATAGAAGTCAGAAGGTCTGGAATTTCAGTGCCTGAACTTGCAAGTCTTGCTGCCTCCAAAATCATCTCCTATCCTTTTTGGCAGCTAACATTTCACTCTAAAGATGATTCTGAATTTGGTTTAAAACTTATTTTAATCCGTTAATTTAAATTAATTTTAATAAATTCATCCTCTAAGTTGATTTAAAACTTACTAAATCCAAAGACCCTGGGAGGGGCAGCACTTTAATCCAAAATCTCTCAATCGTTTTTCTTCCTCTGCACTGTTCACATGTATGACATCCCCCCAGCAGTAACATTTCTCATGATCTGTAGAGAGATGAAAATCATGGCTTTTAAGTAAGTGTCAAATTATTTCCTGAGATCCAACCAGGAAAGCCAAGGGCTCACGGGAGTGCTTTGCAGTCTCCCCAGGTTTTTCGTTAGCAGAGACAAGGCCAGGAGAGGGACGTCCTTGAGCTGAAGGTGCAACATGGGACTTGGGAGCCCCCTGGTGGATTGGCGATCATACTGCAGACTTAGTCCCAACAGGCTCCTCTTCAAAGGATGTATGCTTTAGATATTATTCATTCCTTACATTTTAAAGTTAAAAAAAAAAAGTAAAACAAAAGCACCCTGCCTAAATCCAAAGCTAAGCACTAGAAGGCAGTGGGTTGTTGGTCTAACAGCTCCACCCACCCACGCACAGACTCGGCGTGGAGATCTTATCAGGTGAATGAGTTGGTGGCCACCACTGCGCAGGAACCAGGCGAGTCCTAGAGCTGGAAGCGCCCACCCTTGGGAACCCTGGCCCTTACTGCAGGAAGGAGAATTTGAACAGAGAGAAACCGTCTCCTAACTTACCCCAGCAGTATTTCCCAAACTACCTGTGCTTACCAATCATCTAGGGGAGCTTTTGAGAAACACAGATTCCTGTGTGGTTTCCCCAGGGCTTCTGGTTCCGTGGGTCTGGAGCAGGGCCCACGTGGTTTTCAAGGGAGGTCAAGTTTACAGACCACAGACCACTGACCGGCCTCCTCTTCCAAGTTAAGCCACCACAAGGACCAGGAGAAAACACTTGATGACAGTGGAGCAAACCACATTAAACAACTACAGACAGGAGGAGGGGCCGTGAGGGTGCCAAGCACCACAGGGCCCAGAGCCCCAGAAGGCCTTAAAACCACAGTGTCCTTAGGAAGACATCTGTGATACTGGGAGGGAGGGGCTCCTGCAGCCCAGCTTGGAGACTCCTGGTTGAGGAAGGGTTGCTCATTGATCTTAAGTTAAAAAAAAATGATTAAGGTAGACAATTTAGGTGATCCAAACAAACTTTATTTAACACTTTATAAAGCAGACAGCCTCCTTTCCAAGAACTAAAAATGGAATGGAATGCAGCTTTTATAGGATAAAAAATCAAGAGACCAACAGAACATATCTGATGGGCTGGGGCCGCACAGGCGACCTGGTTCGGGGTGAGATGACCCAGAGCTGGCTTGGCATTTGGGGATCGGCTGACTGAATAGACTATGTTTGTGGTCAGGCAGAGCCTTTATAGGGACACAAAAGTGATCTAAGGTTTTGGTTTGCAGACTTGGCATCCTGGGCAGGAGGGGCTCCATCGGCCTAGAAATTTATTTCGAAACTTCTAATTTCATTCTCTTTTTCTGTTTCTTTCCTGGGGCTTTACTTCACCCTCCGTGAATGACGCAAACTTCCTTCCCTGTTGTCGTCATCACCACCATTTTTCAGTACTTTTTTCTGGTCAGGGTAACTGTTGCGCCATTCCTGGCCAGATTTGCCAGGCCTGAGGCTTGAGTTTCCAGTCCTAACCTTCCAGAGGCATTTTCGTTTATCTTGGGCTCTATGTCTTCAGTGGGTGTCTGTTTAGTGCTGCAAAGCAAGTGGTGGGACAGCCAGGCTTGCTTACCCGGCACAGGAAACAAGGAGGGGCTTATATTGCAGGTTGCTGCAGATGTTGCTTGTTCTACAAAATTGTAGAGCAATTATTTTGTAGAACAGTCTCTGTAATTAAAGCAGTTTCGTCTTAGCCCCACCTTGTGGGGGTGCTGGCCAAGCAGGCTGCTGCCAAGGTGGGCTCCTGGACCCAGGTGAGTGATCCCAGGTGTCCGCAGATGTGCTAAGGGACCCCCAGAAGCTGAAGTGAGAGAGAGCTGGGGTCAAAGCATTTGAGGCCAAGTCGGTAAACAGGAACAAAGGGAATCCCTGGGCAAGGAATAGGGGCTGAATCTGAATTTCTCAGGAGCTGCAGTGACTTAGGAACATACAGGTATTGATGGGGGCGGGGGGGATTGAAGAAAAGGGAGTCCTGGATTTCGACTGTGGGTCCAGACAGCTTTGGGCTAAAGCTCAAGCGTCTGTTTTATTGAGGGCCAGACAGGTGTTGTGTGGGCGAGTTGTCCTAACTAACAGCACAGGGCAAGGGTTGATTGCAGGTAACTAATTGGTAATTATTATTTATAAAAGGATTGTGGTATGTGGGCAGAGCACTGGCTCTTGAGTT